AGCTGTGTTGGCACCGGAGGCCAAGTGAACTACGCGAGCCTGGCGACGCTGCTGTAGCTCGCGCAGGAGGAAGTACCGCAGCTGGATATGCTTCGCTCTACCCTCAAGCCGAGGCTCCTGACACAGGAGAATCATGGCCCTGTTGTCAGCGTACAGGACCGGGGCAGAGCTAGGCCACTCACCTAAGTCTGTGAGCAAGAAGGTCAGCCAGCGGAGCTCCTGTGCCGCCATGGCACCGGTGTAGATCTCAGCCTCGCAGCTGGACTGAGCAACAGACAACGAGCGAGTGGATCTCCAAGAGATAGCACCCGAACCAAGGCCAAAACAGTAGCCCTGAGACAACCTGAGAGTCTCAGAGTCGTCTGCCCTAGAAGCGTCTGTATGCCCAGTGAGGACCACTGGCCTGCGTCCTCCTTGCACTAACCCCATGCCCGATGTACTTGCAAGATAACGCAAAACCCTCTTAGCGGCAGACCAGTGCCGAGGTCGGTGTCTGCCTGTAGCCACAAAGCGAGCCAGGATGCTGAGAGGGTATGCGAGATCTGGGCGAGTGCAAGTCATCAGGTACATGAGGCAACCCACCAGCTCTGCGTAGGGGCCACTGGGCTCTACTGGCTCCTCAGAAACGGGAGCGGAGAGCCCATGGTCTACAGGTAGAGCTGTGGGCTGTGCGGAGGAGAACTGAAGACCAAACCTCTGAAGGACCTGACGCACCAAGTGTGACTGTGTCAGAGTGATGGTGCGTGCTGCTCTGTCCCTAGAGATCTGCAGGCCAAGATAGCGACGCAGCTCTCCAAGGTCAGTGCAGGTGTGTCTCTTCAGCAGTTCAGCCTTCACAGAGGCCAGTGCGTCCCTGTCAGGAGTAGCGAAGACCAGGTCGTCCACGTAGAGAAGGATGTAGAACGGAGTCTGGCCGGAACGCACAAACAGTGAAGGGTCAGCAGAGGACGGAAAGAACTGCAGGTCTGCTAACGTGGCACGTAGCGTGTCATGCCACTCGCGAGGACGGGCAGGGTCAGAGACCAGAGCGGTAGCGTAGTCAAGGCGGCTGGTAGAGGCGAAGTCAGCGACAGCAGCGACAAGCGCGTCAAGGCGCGAGACAGGAACAACAGGGTCGGTAACAAGAGAGGCAAGGACCCGAGGGATAAGGGGACGAGCAGCTCGGAGGTAGACAGAGAACGGAGGAGGTGCAACAGCAAGGGACGAGGGAGGAGGGGACGGGAGGAGGGGAGGACAAGACGAGCGGGAACGGAGCAACATAGGGTGGGTGGGCAGGACAGGAGAGACGGGACGAGCACGGGAGGGACGGCGAGCCCAAACGTGAGACGGAGGTGTAGGGTCAGGGGACAGCGGAGGAGACACAGGAGGAGAACGAGGAGGAAGACGGGCCGGAGACGAGTCTGGCGGCGGGAACACAGGACCGTAGACAGGAAGGTCAGCGGGCGGTGGGGGAGGCACCGTCGCGCGGTCCGGGGAGGGAAGGCCGAGCAGGCGGAGAGCGGAGACCGGCGGCGACGGCTGCTGTGGCGGCGACGACGGCTGGGCCGGAACGCTCGGACCAGCAGAGGCAGAACGACCGTCGGCAGAACACTCAACAGCAGCACCCCCAGAACCAACACCCCCAGATGAGAACCCCCTCCAACACCAGCGGCACCCCCAGAAGCCGCAGGACGAACACCCTCCTCCACACCAGCACCCCCAGGGGCCAAGAGCGGCGGCGGCAGTGGCGGCGACGGCTGCGGCGGCGGCGACAGCGGCGACGGCTGCGGCGGCGACGGCGGCGGCGGCTGCAGCTGGGTCAGCGACTGCGACAGTGGGGGCAGAGGCACCAGGGAAGGGGGACGCGGCAAGGACAGACCAGGGGTACCACCAGAGTCAGCAGACTCCTCAACGGGACAACAGATGGAAGGGGAGTGACGTGAGAGACACCAGACGGGGCAGGACGAGGCGGGAGAGGGGCAAGGGCTACCGGGGGAGAGGGAGCAAGGAACAAGGGGGGGGCAACTGGGAGACCTCGGTAAGGGAAGCGGCGGTAGAAGGAGACGGACTCGTCAAAGGTAACGTCACGAGAGTGGAGGAAGCGGTGAGACGGCGGGTGATAGAAAAGCCAGTCAGACGAGTCCAGGGGGAAACCGAGGAAGACATAGGGGACAGTGCGGGCTATGAGCTTGTCCGTACCAGAGGCACGAACGTGAGCAAGGCAGCCCTAGACGTGGAACGCAAACGCGTCACCGGGGGACCCGGTCCAAAGGAGGGTCGGCGAAACCTGCGGCCGCTGGGAGCGTGGCCACAGGTTAAGCTGGTGAGCAGCGTAGCGAACAGCGAATGGCCACAGAAAATGGGGGGCATCGGCATGGATCATGGAGGTACGAGCGACCTCCATGACCAAGCCGATGCGGCGCTCAGCAACCCCATTCTGCTGTGGCGAGTCCGGCAAGGTGTACGACTGGGTGATGCCCTCCGCACGACAGAACTGTCCAAGCCGACCAGAGGCGAACTCGCCGCCGCGGTCGGAGTGGAGACACAACACGGGGAGACCGCGGTGGAGACGCGCAGCCACAACCTACAGTAGAAGAACGTCGGGCACGTCGGCCTTCCGCTCCAGGGGAAACACCGTGGTGTAGCGCGTGTAGTCGTCGACGAGCACAAGGAATTAGCGCTCACGGCGCGGTCCGGGGACGGGGGCAGGGCCCCAAACGTCCAGGTGCAGGGTCTGAAGGGGGGCAGTAGCAGGGCGCAGCGAGGAGGAGTGAGGAGCACGGCGGAGCCGACCCTTGACGCAAGGCGTGCACGGTGGCGCAGCCGAGGGAGGAAGGGCAGGGAGCGACGCGGGGAGACCTAAGACAAGACCGTGCTGGGACATGTGACGCAGACGCGGGAGAGCAGGGTGACCTAAGCGGTGGTGCCATAGAAGGGAGGGGTGAGTGAGGGACCGACACGAGCAAGCTGCAGCGACCTGGGAGGACGCACCAACCGGGGGGGAAGCGGTGTCTAGGGTAAACAGACCGGACACCGGGTCCCGGGGGAACGTCGCAAGGGGGAAACATGAGACAGCCTCAGAACAGACAGCGAACCGCTGGTGTTCGGGGAACGTAGTGGTGACGCCGAGGTCCTGGAGACAGCCGACACCAACCAGGTTCCTGGAGAACGAGGGAACGTGGAGGCCAGTAAGGGAGCCCGAGGGAACTGCCGGACAGGGAAGGGACGTAGAACTGCGCGCGACCACAGGACCCGCAGAGGGGTCAGCGAGAGAGACAACAGCAGGTGCAGCAAGCGGCGTGAGCGTGGAACGGTCGCGGAAGAAGCAGGCAAAAGCACCGGAGTCGAAAGTGTAGGACAGCGACGCAGTGGCGGAGGCCGGGGACGGAGCCGGTGCAGCGACTAGACTAGGCAACCTAGGCAGTCCTACACGTGACGCAGCAGGGGAGGCTAATCTATACAGTGGTGCAACACCTAAACTAGAGTACACAGGGTAATAAGATCCAGCAAAACTAGAAGCGTCAGAATACAAAGCATGCAAAGCAGCACCTATCTGATCCATGTCTAACTCAAAGATCGGCACGCCCTGGCGGAGCAGGCTGTGCTAGTCGGGGAGGTCCGGGGCCGGGCCAAAGCGACGATGAAAGAGATCGTCGAGGCGGCGGAAACAGCGGGCGGTCAGGTGCGGGCGGCGGCACAGAGTGCCGCGAAGAGGCCTGGTCAAAAGCTGGTACTGGCAGGTGACAGCACCGGAGCCGCCGGTAGAAGGTCTCACTGTCATCAGAGGAGGGGTCAGCAGGGAGGGGAGCAGGTGCGGGGGGGCGGGGGAGCAAGCCATCGACATGGACAACCAAAGAGTGGCCATCCTGGCGCTGACCTGTAAGGTGGTGGCGGAGATCAAAGAGCCAGGCGGCGAAGTCAACCGCATGGCCCTCGGCGTCAAGTCGGAGCACGAAGTCCGCCATCGTGCAGGGTCAGCGGCACAGCTCCATAGGAACACATCGACGCAGGAACACAGCGACAGCCCCCTCCAGCACGGGCGAGCAGAGGAGACGGAGCCCGAGGCGGCACGGCAGGACGAGCCGGGGCGAAAGGGCGAGGCAGGTGCGGTGGGGCCAGGCAGGTGCTGGCGGGGCCAGGCAGGCGTGGCGGGGCCAGGCAGGTGCGGCGGGGCCAGGCAGGCGCGGCGGGGCTAGGCAGGCGCGGCAGGGCCAGGCAGGCGCGGCGGGGCCAGGCAGGAGCGGCGGGGCCAGGCAGGCGCGGCGGGGCCAGGCAGGCGCGGCGGGGCCAGGCAGGCGCGGCGGGGCCAGGCAGGCGCGGCAGGGCCAGGCAGGCGCGGCGGGGCCAGGCAGGCGCGGCGGGGCCAGGCAGGCGCGGCGGGGCCAGGGAGGCGCGGCGGGGCCAGGGAGGCGCGGCGGGGCCAGGCAGGCGCGGCGGGGCCAGGCAGGCGCGGCGGGGCCAGGCAGGCGCGGCGGGGCCAGGCAGCCGCGGCGGGGCCAGGCAGCCGTGGCGGGGCCAGGCAGGCGCGGCGGGGCCAGGCAGGCGCGGCGGGGCCAGGCAGGCGCGGCGGGGCCAGGTAGGCGCGACGGGGCGAGGCAGGCGCGACGGGGCCAGGCAGGCACGACGGGGCAAGGCAGGGCGCGAGGGGGCCAGGCAGGGCGCAACGGGGCCAGGCAGGGCGCGACAGGGCTAGTGGGCGCGACGGGGCCCAGGAAGGGCGCGACGGGGCTAGGGTGGCGCGACGGGGCCCAGGAGGGGCGCGACGGGGCTAGGAGGCGCGACGGGGCCCAGGAGGGGCGCGACGGGGCTAGGAGGCGCGACGGGGCCCAAGAGGGGCGCGACAGGGCTAGGGTGGCGCGACGGGGCTAGGGTGGCGCGACTGGGCTAGGGTGGCGCGACGGGGCCTAGCTAGGGTACGGGCGGAAGCGGTAGGTGGGGGATGCTAACCTACGCGTGATACCATGTCAAAGTTAGAACGAAATGATTACTAGAAGTGGAAACCTAGAACAAATACTAGTTGGTTGTACTCATTAGAAGCATACCTCAGTCTAGCCTAAAACTTCTACATAGCTAACACATGAACTGCAAATGTAAAGGAGCAGTGCAGTATGAAGCTGGCATTGGCATCAGCCTATGCCAGTGCCATGGGCTGCCAGGAGGAGGCATCAGCTTTGTTTGACTCCAGGTGGTCTGACACTGGTCGACGTGGCTGCATTTCGTTGTTGAGAATTATAAAAAACACAACACATCACCTGCATGCCATGCGCACACAACACAGCAGGGAAGGGGGTGTTGAGACCTTCGTCACTTCGAGGTTGGTATTGCTGGGATGTGAGGCAGGTGAGTGTGAGACCAAAGACAAGCGATGGATAGGAGCCTAGGGAGTGAGAACTGGCGGAGACATGAGGGGGGAGAAGGCGCAGTGTTTTTTATACTGATAGATTGCAGCATTGCCTTGCCGACTGCTTTCCATGTCCCCTTCCCTTTGCCCGTTGGTGGCACATTCCACATGCCTTACCAAACCCTCTCTCCCGCCTGAACATTCTTCCAACCCCCCTGCCTCCCCACTTCCTCCCCCCCCTCCCTCTATCCCACCCGTCTCCAAACCCGCACTCTGCGATACCCTCCCCTATCCCCTCCACCCCCTTACCTGCCGCACTCTGCCACACCCGCAGGAGGGGAGGGGCAGGGAGGGAGAAGGGTGTGGGGAAACCTGAGGATGGGCGGGAAGAGGAGGAGGAAGGGTATGGGGAGGCCTGGAGGAGGGGAGGGGTGAGCATTGAAGAAGCGTAAGGACTTGCGGAGTGGAAAGTACAGGAGGGGAAAGGGGAGGAGGGGGGGGGGAGGGCAGCCAGGTTCGGTGGCGAGAAGATGGTATGGGGACTGCGGGATGGGTGCCGAGGCATGGGCACTGGCACACTTCGTGGCTTCGGCACCCATGGGTCCGCCCCATCTCGGCCTAACTCATTGTCGTCACCCAACTTGCCATTGGCCACTGCTGCATCGAATCCATGGCCGTCGCGAGTACGCAAGTGTGGCTGGGTGAGGGGGGGCAGTATGGGAGAGGGGGCGAGAGAATGAGAGAGGGGGGGGGAGCAACGGAGGTGTGGTGAGTGCAAGGGAAGTCGTGGAACAGCAGGGGAGGTGTGGGGAGTGCAAGGAAGGTTGGGGGAGACCATTCAGATGGGGGGAGAGGAGAGAGAGCGGGGATGTGTGAGATGCGTGATATCAGGGGAGGGGGAAGGCAGGAGAGCAAGGAGCGAGTGAGAAGTGATATAGGGAAGGGAGAGAGGGGTGCGAGTAGGGAAATAGAGAGTGCATGGGAAGGGGAGATAGGTAAGAGCAGGGAAGGGGAGAGGCATGAGAGCAATGGAGGGAGAGAGGTGTTGGGGAAGGCAGCAAAGAAGGAAACATACTTGGCAGTGGCACACCGGGTAACTCGCAAAACCAGAGTGCATGATCAGGGCGTTGCTGTCGTTCCTCTGCATCCCCCCCTCTCGCCCTGCATCCCCCCCCCCTCTCGCCCTGCATCCCCCCCCCCTCTCGCCCTGCATCCCCCTCCTTCTCGCTGTGCATCCCCTCCTTCTCGCTCTGCACCCCCCTCTCTGTCGCTCTGCGCCGCGAATGCATCGCGGATATGCCCTGATTCGAGAGGCGCTGAATCTCGTTGCGCACCCTCTCCCCCGTGGCGCTCTTATGCCCTCTGGTATAACGCCCGAGCCATCCCAAATTGTGTGAGGTCGAGGTGGTGGGGATTATCCGACGTACTACAGAGTTGCGTTGTAGATCTTCCCATCTGGTTGCTTTCTTAAGCGCGCGACTCGGGAATCCTACGCCAGCGAGTTCGTCGGAAGCTAGAGGAACATGTGAAGCGGATATGCCCTAACTCGAGAGGTGCTGCCGACTTTGCGTCTGATCCTAAGTATCCCTTAGGCTTAGAGGAAGCTTGGGCTTATCTCGAATGGCGAGTTGCGATCCACCGATACTGGACATGCGCACAATATCCGCCAAAAAAAATGGAAATGCGATATCCGCGTGACTTTCGGTCAAGTCTACTCTAAGTTGCTGGCAAAAGAGGGAATTGATGCTAGCAGAAGTCCGATTTTGCAAGCGAAATAGGAGCTGCGGTCATGCCTGGCGTTTTTTTATGTTCTCTGCTGTTGTTCAGCGCGTTTGCCGGAGTGCGGCTGGTTGACGGTTTGACGCGTTAGCCTAGTTTGTGCTCTCCTGTACAATGTGCTGTGCGTTGCTGGTTCTTGTTGTCCTTTCCCAACCTTGTTTGAGTTTTGGTTTGCGAAGTGCTAATTTGCGTATGCGACTTTCGCAAGCCAACTTTCAGACTTCAGGCTTTCGTCAACCTCGCAGCCAATCGAAAGCCTCTCGTCCCAACCCAAGCCACGCTCACTTTATGAGGCTTGTAACTTGAGACCTAGGCCTTAAGACGAGATATTTACTGTTGTGATAAAATCGTACTTCAGCATTTCGGTAAGTAGTTCCGATAGACGTTATCGAGTTACATGTTAAGACTAGAAGGTATGAATAGAAGAAGGGAGAACAGGGGAGAAATAGCATTTGGGTCGTACCCACTAAGAACATACCCTATCTAGCCTATAACTTCTATATAACAATATATGTATAAGTTGACACACCCCCTAGCAAGGCCTCAGATATCAGGATGTTTTATCCTGAATTCCTGATTTTCAGGATGCCTGTTAGGTGCCAAACCTGAAAAATCAGTTTAAGGTCATTTTTTCCCCTGTGAATTCAGTTTTAAATCGTAGTGCAACCCTGAGGATTCAGTAAAGTGTTCGTGTACTAGCCCTGAGGTGTCAGTATGCCTTCGGGGATAACCCTGATTCCTCGAATCTTGAATGCACGTGCGCCAATAGGGTAACCCTTGCCTCGAATTTTACATTTCGGCTAAGTCCTCAAAGGTAGCAACAACTATCAAACCTAGAATTGAATGATGTGAGAGAGAGAGTACACAAACATATACCTAAATGTTGTACTCTCTAGAAGGTGACCCTATACAGTCTATACAAACATGATAACTACACATGTTTGACACACCCCCTGGACTGCATAGGGGAATGTTCTAGACAAGTAGCTCAGGGTGGCACTACTAGTCCAGCCTCTGAGACAAGGGTCTAAAAGACCAGTCAGAAGGAGTACAGACAAGGCAAGAACGAGTACAGGGCGGCACTACTAGTCCAACCACTGTGAGAGGACACAAGTCCAGTCTGAGTGTATACATATATATATATACGACAGTACAAAGTCAAGGCCCGAGTAAGTGAGAGACTACAGGAACCAGACCAAGCTGTAAACAGTGCCGCTGATGATCTTTAGGCGCAAGCGCCTTCGTAAAGATATCAGCTGTGTTGGCACCGGAGGCCAAGTGTACTACGCGAGCCTGGCGCCGCTGCTGTAGCTCGCGCAGGAGGAAGTACCGCAGCTGGATGTGCTTCGCTCTGCCCTCGAGTCGATGCTCCTGACACAGGAGAATCATGGCCCTATTGTCAGCGTACAGGACCGGGGCAGAGCTAGGCCGCTCACCTAAGTCAGTGAGCAAGAAGGTCAGCCAGCGGAGCTCCTGTGCCGCCATGGCACCGGCGTAGATCTCAGCCTCACAGCTGGACTGGGCAACCGACGAGGAGCGGGTAGCTCTCCACGAGACAGCACCTGAGCCAAGGCTAAAGCAGTAGCCCTGGAAAGACCTGAGCGTCTCGGCGTCGTCTGCCCAAGAAGCGTCTGTGTGTCCAGTAAGGACCACTGGCCTGCGTCCGCCTAGCACTAACCCCATGCCCGATGTACTTGCAAGATAACGCAAAACCCTCTTAGCGGCAGACCAGTGCTGAGGTCGGTGTCTGCCTGTGGCCACAAAACGAGCCAGGATGCTGAGAGGGTATGCGAGATCTGGGCGAGTGCAAGTCATCAGGTACATGAGGCAACCCACTAGCTCAGCGTAAGGACCACTGGGATCTACCGACTCCTCAGGAACTGGAGCGGAGAGTCTGTGGTCCAGAGGAAGAGGGGTGGGCTGTGCGGAGGAGAACTGAAGGCCGAACCTCTGAAGGACCTGGCGCACCAAGTGTGACTGAGTCAGGGTGATGGTGCGGGCGGCTCTGTCCCTGGAGATCTGCAAGCCAAGGTAACGGCGCAGCTCTCCAAGGTCAGTGCAGGTGTGTCTCTTCAGCAGCTCTGCCTTCACGGAGGCCAGTGCGTCCCTGTCAGCTGTGGCAAAGACCAGGTCGTCTACGTAGACGAGGATGTAGAACGGAGTCGAGCCAGCACGAACGAAGAGCGAGGGGTCTGCAGAGGACGGAAAGAACTGCAGGTCAGCAAGAGTAGCACGCAGCGTGTCGTGCCACTCACGAGGCGCCTGGCGCAGGCCGTAGACTAGGCGCCGCAGAAGCCACTGGGTCCCAGGGGGGAAGGTGCCAGTAAAGCCCTGAGGACGACGCAGGTAGACCTGCTCGTGAAGGCTGCCCTGAAGAAAGGCAGTGGAGAAGTCGAGGGAGTGAAGCTCGTAGTCACGCTGAGCCGCTACGTGTAGCAGAACCCGAAGAGTAGTCATCTTCGGGGTAGGAGCGAAAGTCTGAAAGAAGTCCACCCCCTCGCGCTGACTGAAGCCTCTAGCCACGTAACGCGCCTTGAACACAGGCGGCTCTCCAGGAGGGCGCTTCACCTTGAAGAGCCAACGGCCATCGACCACGTTCACCCCAGGTGGGGGAACTGCGTCGACGAAGGTGCCGGTGGATCTCCAAGATGCCATCTCCTGCTCCATGGCAGCTATCCACTGAGAGGCCCAAGGTCCCGAAACCGCCTCAGCGTAAGTACGAGGGGTCGGGATGTCAAAAGCGTCTGGGTCACCCTCAGGGACTAGCAGCATGGAACAGAGATGGGGAGCAGCCTCGGACAGGAAAGCAAGCTCAAACTGGCAGTCCTCCAGGACGTCACTGCCGAGGGCAGGAGCACCCCCGACAGACGGAGGACAGGCAGGGTCAGAGACCAGAGCGGAGGCGTAGTCAAGGCGGCGGGTAGAGGCGAAGTCAGCGACCGCAGCGACAAGGGCGTCAAGACTCGACACTGGAACAGACGGGTCGGTAACAAGAGAGGCAAGGACCCGAGGAACAAGAGGACGAGCGGCACGAAAGTAGTCAGACAGAGGAGGAGACGCAACGACAAGAGAGGACGGAGGAGGAGACGGGAGGAGGGGAGGACGAGACGCGTGGGAGCGGAGCAACATAGGGTGAGTGCGCGGGACGGGGGAGACAGGACGAGCACGGGAGGGGCGGCGAGACCAGACGTAAGAGGGCGGCGTCGGGTCGGGAGACAGAGGAGGGGACACGGGTGGGGAACGAGGGGGAAAACGAGCCGGGGACGAGTCCGGCGGAGGGAACACGGGGCCGTAGACGGGAAAAGGGGGAGACGGCCGGAGAGGAACAGGCGCAGGGTCAGGGGACGGAAGGCCGAGCAAACGGAGGGCGGACACCGGCGGGGACTGCTGCTGCGGCGACACAACACCAACGCCAGGGCCACAAGCTGCGCGACGGCTACCTCCCGAACCCTCCACACGGGCACCCCCAGAAGGGACACCCCCAGAGCCCGAAACACCGCCAGCACCGGTACCACCCCCAGGCCCGCGGAGACAAGCCACGACAGGAGCCCCGGGACGAGTACCCACCTCAACTCCAGCACCCCCAGAGTCCACAAACAGCGGCAGCGACGACGGCGGCGGCGGCGGCGGCGGCTGCAGCGACGGCCTCGACGGCGGCGGCGGCGGAGACGACGGCTGCAGCAGTTGCGGCGACGGCGGCTGCGGAGGCGGTGGAGGAGGAGACACCGGGGGAGGGACAGACGGCGAGGACTGCGCCAAAGGACTACCAGAGTCAGAAGACTCGTCGACCGGAACGACCGACGGGAGGGGGGTCACGTGAGACACACCAGAGGGGGCCGGACGGGGGGGCGGGGGGGGGGAGGGGCAGGGGCCACCAGGGAGGGAGGAACCAGGAACAGGGGGGAGTAACCGGGGGACCACGGTGGGGAAAGCGGCGGAAGAAGGAGACGGACTCGTCAAAGGTGACGTCGCGAGAGTGAAAGAAGCGGTGAGACGGCGGGTGGTAGAAGTGCCAGTCGGACGCGTCAAGAGGGAAACCGAGGAAGACGCAGGGGAGGGTGCGGGCAGTGAGCTTGTCCGTGCCAGAGGCACGAACGTGAGCAAGGCAGCCCCAGACGTGGAACGCAGACGCGTCACCAGGGGACCCGGTCCACAGAAGGGTCGGCGAAACCTGCGGCCGCTGGGGGTGCGGCCACAGGTTAAGCTGGTGAGCGGCGTAGCGCACGGCGAACGGCCACAGAAAATGGGGTGCACCGGCGTGGATCATGGAGGTGCGAGCCACCTCCATGACCAAACCGATGCGTCGCTCAGCGACCCCATTCTGCTGCGGGGAGTCCGGCAGGGTAAACGTCTGGGTGATGCCCTCCGCACGACAGAAGCGACCAAGGACACCTGAGGCGAACTCGCCACCCCGGTCGGAGTGGAGGCGCAAGGCAGGGAGACCGCGGTGGAGACGAGGAGAGACAAGCCAGGGGATGAGAACGTCAGGCACGTCGGCCTTCCGCTCCAGGGGAAAGACGGTGGTGTAACGTGTGAAGTCGTCGACAAGCACTAGGAAGAAGCGCTCGCGACGCGGCCCATGGACCGGGGCTGGGCCCCAGACGTCCATGTGCAGAGTCTGCAGGGGTGCGGTGGTAGGGGGAAAAGAGGAGGAGTGAGGGGCACGGCGGAGCCGGCCCTCGACACAAGGCGTGCACGGTGGGGCGGGGGATGAGGGAAACTCAGGGAACGAACCGGGGAGACCAAGGACGAGACCGTGCTGGGACATGTGACGCAGACGCGGGAGTGCAGGGTGACCAAGGCGGTGGTGCCAAAGGAGAGTCGGATGAGTGAGGGACCGACAGGAGCACGCAGCAGCAACCTGGGTGGACGCAGCTACCTGGGGGGAAGACCCAGCCGGGACGTCGCGGTGTCAAGTGTGAACAGGCCGGACACCGGGTCCCGGGGGAAAGTGGTAAGGGGGGCACCAGTGGCGGCCTCGGTACAGACAGCATACCGCTCGTGACCAGGGAACGTAGTGGTGACGCCAAGGTCCTGGAGGCAGCCGACACCAACTAGGTTCCTGGAGAACGAGGGGATATGCAGACCGGTGAGCGAACCTGAAGG